CTCTCTCTCTCTCTCTCTCTCTCTCTCTCTCTCTCTCTCTCTCTCTCTCTCTCTCTCTCTCGCCCCCAGCACACACCTGCATGCAGAAGCAAATCACAAGCAAATGCGCTCAAATGAATGCATGCACATGCACCCGAGCACAGACAAAAAAAAGAGGAGAGATTGATTCGCAGAAACTACACTCTGTACTCTTTGCGCAGCGTTTCAAGCGTCTCATGGGACAGCCCTGGAGATGCAAGCAGGCAGTCAAAGACTGAGGCAAATGTATTCTTGTCTTTTGGAGGAAGAAGCATTGCTGTCATTTTGAACCTTCGGACTTTCGACAAGGCGATCAGAACAGTCAGCGCTCCTTGGCAGTCGTTCGGAAGGAATCCCTTATCTAGAGCGGCACCAATCGCCGCCATGGTGGATGCGCTGAGCCCATCCTGCAAGATCCGTGGGTATTCGTCCACGTGGATGACTCGCAAGTATGTAGCTAGTTCGTGTGCGTCCTTTTCTCCAAGCTTTCGGCACGTTAGTTCAAACTCCGTGGCGTTCTTTGGCTTGCGGACATGTCCAGGTTCGTCCCCGAGATCAGCAGCAGGTTTGGCCACAGTGGAAGGAACAGTAACGGGACCTGGACCAGACGACTTGCCAGGAGGACCAGCGATCTTCTGTTTCTTCTCCCGTGAAAGGTTTGCAGAAGAAAATCCAGCCGTTGGTGAGCCAGCGGATGATTTGGAACAGGAAACAGAATCTTGGGAGGGTGTAGTGCTGCTGCTGCTGCTGCTGCTGCTGCTGCCGATGCTGCCGATGCTGTTGCCAATGCACGCAGGGCTTGGCTGGCCGTCTGCCGGTTGGCCATTGCATTCGTGCATGCTGGCTTTGACAGCATTACTTTGCACAACTTCGCCCCCGACTATATGAGCGTTGGTGGCAGGTTCTCTGAGCAACTGCCCCTGGGATTTTGCCCCGGTATTGCCCTCCAGCTCCTCGTCCTGCTCTGCTGGTTCCCCTGCATCACACGTGGGTTGGGCCTCGGATTTGGGCTCGGTTTCTTCATCGCTCTCTTCTATCACCATCCTGGTCATCGCTGGCAGAGGGTCAGTATTTCCACAGGCATGGCACAGAGCAGGCCCGGATTCCTTGAGTCGTTCTTTGCCCCCCTCCCTGTGGTCTGCATGTGACTCCTCGCGGCATTGGCCCTTTCCATCGCCATCAACAGCCATGTTCTCTTCCTCTCCTTCTTTCTGCTCCTCCTGCTGCTGCTGCATTTTCGCCTTGGCAACCACCTTGCTTATCCTTCCCTTCATCATCTGCAGGTCCACGTTGCTTGGGTCCAGGGCCAATGCTGCTTCAATGTCCTGCCATGCATCCGTCGGACGCTGCAGCTCCGCCCGCGCGTAAGCCCTTCTCATCAGGGCCTTCACGTGCTTGGGATCCATCTCAAGAACACCATTGCAGTCGATCTCTGCATCTTCCCATCGTTTGAGCTTGAGGTAGGCTGCAGCACGATTGGCCAGAGCCGCGACATGACTTGGTGACAGCCTGAGGGAGAGAGTGTACGAGTCTATGCTACCGCGGAAATCCTTGCTCTTGAACATCTCGTTCCCTTTCTCTCTCTCCCTCTCTGCCAACCAAAGTCTCTCTACATCAGACATTCCACTTGCCGATTCCACCACTTTATCCGCCCACGACTTCTTCGCCTTTGTGTCTTCCTCCTCCTCCTTACCTACAACGCTCTTCTCCTTCCTCGTCTTCTCCTTCCCCGTCTTCTCCTCCAGCTCGCGTTGCTCACCCCCCTCGAGTTCCTTCTCAACTTGCTTCGCATACTTATCCCATCCGTCGTAATAGCTGGACCAGTCCTTCTTCCCTCCAGCCCCAGTCTTCTTGCACATGTCCTCTACTACTCCTCCTCCTCTTTCCCCTCCTCCTCTTTCTCCTCCTCCTCCTCCTCCTCCTGCCGGCACAGGTGACTGCTGTTGCTGCTGCTGTTGCTTCTCCCTTCCCTCATGGCAACTTCTTTGCTGATCAGGATACTGACTCGGACGGCGCATGACTTGGGCCCCAGACACCACATCCCCTACTAGCGTGGGCCTGATAGCCGGGATCCCAATCCCAACCCTGTCTTTATCCTCGCTGCCACCCAACCCTTCGTTGCCACCAAGACACTTTAGCTTTGCGTCTGGGTCCTTGACAGACGCCTCCCATCCACAAAGCTCCTCGGCAAGGGCGCCACGTTCTTCGCTGGATAGTATACCTCCTCCTCCCGCCGCTGCTCCTAGTGCCTCAAGTCTTGCCTTCGCCGTGTCTGCAGTTATGGCAAAGCCCTCCTCTCGCATGTAGGCTTCCAATTTCCTGAGCTTTGGGATATCCTCCAAGCTTTGGAGCTTATCATAAGTAATGTTGTCGAACTCACGTCTCTCCTGATCTGAGAGACAATCTCGCTGGAGGCCACCATATGCCACCATGTTGATGCTACTGCTCCCTCTGTGTGCTTTCGTGCCTCAAGTGACCAAGAAACCACAAGCACCCCGGAGCAGTATAAATTATTAACCCACTACTTGTTCCACCTGACGTGCCGTGTCATGTGGTGGCCGCACAATCGGTCTTTCGTTCCTGATTGATTAATAATTTAATAATTAATCATAATCAGTAACTGTTGTGCTGAGGGGTCAAGCTTGCTTCACACATGTCTGACTCTCAGAGAGACATGCCCACCGTCCAATTTTTCTGCTTCACAATCATAGGAAGAGCTGACATCGAAGGATCAAAAAGGAACGTCGCTATGAACGCTTGGCTGCCACAAGCCAGGAGATGTGCCTACCTTCAGAAGATAGGGGCCCTATACTCTCTCTCATTCGGAGCACCACCATCTCCTTCCAAAAAAAAGAGAGGGCCTCATTCTCCCATGCAGTGCTTCAGCCTCTCCTTCCAAAGGTAGGCCCTTATTATTCTTTCATTCAATGCTTTGCTTTCCCATCTCCTTCCAGAGATAGAGGCCTTATTCTCAGATTCAATGCTTTGCCACCTCCCTCCAAAGAAAGGTAGGGCCTCCTCCCAAAGATAGGGGCCTTAATCTCTTATTGCATGCCTCATTATTCTTTTACTCGATGCTTCACAGTGTCCTTCCGGAGATAGGGGCCTTATTCTTTCATTTAATGCCTCACCATCTCCTTCCAAAGGTAGGCCTGCTTCCAGAAATAGGGGCCTTCTTCTCCCATTCAATTCCTCACAATTTCCTTCCAGAGATGGGGCCCTTATTCTCAGATCCAATGCTACGCCATCTCCTTCCAAAGCGAGGGCCTCCTTCCAACGACGCTGGGGTCTTATTCTTTCATTTAATGCCTCACCATCTCCCTCCAAAGGTAGGGCCTCCTTCCAAAGATAGGGAGGGGCCTTATTCTCCTATTGAATGCCTCATCATCTCCTTCCAAAGGTAGGCCTCATTATTCTTTCATTCAATGCTTCACAATGTCCTTCCAGAGATAGGGGCCTTATTCTTTCATTTAATGCCTCACCATCTCCTTCCAAAGGTAGGGCCTACTTCCAAACATAGGGGCCTTATTCTCTCATTCAACTCCTCACCATTTCCTTCCAGAGATGGGGCCCTTATTCTCTCATTTGGTGCTTCACCACCTCTTCCAAGTGGTCACTCCTCCTTTGTTAGGCAGGAGAGGTAATGTCTAAATCACCCCCAGGTGATGTAGCATCTAATTTAGCCAATTTCAGCCGATCTGAGACGGGCACAATCTCATGGGTTCTGTTTTCAACTACCCCCCACCTGGGCCCCAAGTTCCTTTGGGACCCTTTGGGACCCTTTCTGCTCACCAGTCTGTCATCCCTGCCCCTACTTTGCTCCACAACCGCCTTCCCACTTCATCGGGGTTGGGGGTTGGGGGTTGAAGGGGTGGGGGGGACGTGGAGGGGCATTAAAAGGGGGAGGAGGAGGGGGGGGTGTATTATTCACCCTTCCATCTGTGTTCAGGAGCGCTTCACTTTCGGTCCCCTGAAACTTCCCTCCATGTCGATCCAAGCGGAGCCCTACACTGCTTGCGTAGTCAACACCCCACCACCTCCGGATGCCTTATGAAAATTGGGGCTGAATTTCACACACACACCCTTCCTTCGGATGCGTCATTACAGAATCAAGGTGTGGTCCCCTCCATCTTGCCTTCCACTACCTCGCCACCCCACTCCTCCTCCACACCCATCTTGCCTTCAAGTTGGCATAAGGCCATGTCAGCCACCTTGGTGTAGGGCCAGGTCACCTGCAACCAACCAGATCCAGCAGGGCTCATTGTGCCAGTCCTCATGATGCACAAGCAATTTCACAATCTAATTAAATAATGATGTTGGCGTGGCCTTACACCCAGAGAGTCTCACGGCTGGTCACTTCCCATCAGCTAGTGCAAGGCATTGCAGTGTGTCGTTGCCGGCGCTCTGAAAGCCCCATAAACGGGAAAGACACGTGGCATCCATTTGCCTTGCCTTGCTTTGATTGCTAGCTCTCCAACGACGAATGGGCCAATCACAGGACACGTGATTACGAAGTACCCATGGAATAGACACGTGGATTGCTGAGTTGTACGATGGCGGTTTTTTTGTGGGGGAGAAGGGGGGGGGAGAGGGGGGGGGGAAGAAGGAAGAGAATTGAGAGGGACACGTGCATGCACTACATCCAAGTGCATGGCTATAGCTCCGTTAACCATGTGAACAGCACTGACAGCTTCAGCGACAGATGTAAGCTGGGCGAGCAGTGATGGCGTGACTGCCAACGTAACATGCACACACGCGCACTCAAGCACACACACAAGCGGGAAAGGGACACTTCACCCCAACACACACACAACTCCTTGGCCGTCATTCTCCATCGCTGCTCGCAGCTCTGGGTCATGGAGAATGATGATCGGTCAAAGAGTTCTGAGGGAGAAGGGACAATGACGATAGCGGAGCAAAAGAAGTTATAGATGTGAGATGACAGACAGACAGACAGACAGACAGACAGACAGACAGACAGACAGACACAGAGAGAGAGACAGACAGACAGACAGACAGACAGACAGACAGACAGACAGACAGACAGACCAGACGGGCGGACGGACGGATGGATGGACTCTCTCTCTCTCTCTCTCTCTCTCTCTCTCTCTCTCTCTCTCTCTCTCTCTCTCTCTCCCCCCCATATTTATGGAGGTCTATGTGTGAACTTGGCCGACGTCCATGGACGCTGTTGAAAACCATTTCCTGTGACAAAGCATGGGACGATGGTTGGACTTCGAGCTCGGTGATTGAAAAAGGATCTACTCAATACAGTTACCTTTTGAATCGCCGAGTTAGCACAGTTAAAAGTAGCTGCTTTTTTTTTTTTTTTTTTTTTTTTTTGAAAAAGCTCAGATGGTTCTGCTAGGGATGGTGAAACCCTTCTCCACCACTAGCAGGCCGCCTGTTGGCTCCATTCTAGCACAGTTAAAAGTAGCTTACTGTCATAAACTCCGTAATCACACCGTAAAATCAAAAGCCAGTTCTCCGCTCGAGTGAACTGAGTGCACACTGCACCAGTTCTCCGGTCGGTGGAGATGCGATCATGACCAACCCGAGTGCAAGTCTTCTACACGAAGTTAACTGACTGAGTTAGCTGTGAGTTAGCTGTGAGTTAGCTTTGTGGGTGGGTTACCGTCTTCACCCGAATAGAACGCCCGGTCATCACAGCGGTATTTGGTGCAATTTTCAGTCCAGATACGGCTATAATGACCGGCCGTTCTATTCGGGTGAAGTTGGTACTAGCTTGTTTGTCACTGCGCCAGTTCTCCGCTCGATGGACTGAGTTAACTGAGTTAGCTGTGAGTTAGCTGTGAGTTAGCTTTGTGGGTGGGCTACCGTCTTCACCCGCATAGAACGCCCGGTCATTACAGCCGTATCTAGACTGAAAGATGCCTCAAATACGGCTATAATGACCGTACGTTGCATTGGGGGGAAGAAGTTAGCTTGTTCGCCGTTGATGAAAACAAAACTACCGCCGTTTTCGGTCCGCACGTCCTCTACCCGAGGGAGTGTTTGCTAACGGTAGAGCAATGTGGAGCTAACGGTAGCAATGTGGTGCTAACGGTGTAGGTGGTCCCATAAAGTTCCCCAGCGTAGTTCAGTGGATGGAGATGTTCTGGTGTTGAACATATGCCATAAATACCCCCCGACTTTCCCTGGATGCATATGATTGCAATCGCGGCCAAGTTCACTCCAATCTCTCTCTCTCTCTCTCTCTCTCTCTCTCTCTCTCTCTCTCTCTCTCTCTCTCTCTCTCTCTCTCTCTCTCGCTTGATTGATCGATAGATCGAGGGAACATCGGAGACTAACGAAGCAACTGGCTTTTCTGTGTTCCAACTAAGGAGCAGTTCAAAGAAGGAGAGATTTTGAAAAAAAAAAAAAAAAAAAGAGGAGAGAGCTACGCTTGATTCGACTTCCCCTCGAGCATTCTACAAGCATGTATGTGCTAAGGCCATACTCACACTAAGATTACGGCCAGCCCTGGATGTACGGGACCGCAATTACGTCCAGATACCAGTTGAAAAATTCCTAGTGTGAATATGCTCACAAAGGGTGCCAACTCGTCAGCTTCCCCCCTCCCATTTCCCTTCCCCCTTCCCC